CCCCAAAACCCCAAAACCCCATTGGGGCAAATTTATATATAAATTAGTTAGGACCAAAATATATTAGTAATTTAATGGAATCAACACTACCAAAAGAGGAAAAGTAAGTTTAATATTTCTCCAAGGACTTTGAATACGAAGATCATTTGAAGCAAGAGTCAGAGAAGCTATCACATTTATTGGACAAACTATCCTTGAAGGAATACTCACTAGATTAATAAATGGAGATATAGTAGATAGCACAAGAGTCTTGGGATGAGTTTTACAAAAATAACCAGGACAAGTTTTTTAAAAACAGAAATTACCTATCCTTCGCTTTCGATCTAATCACAAAACATATCGAGGATAACTAAGACAAGGAAGAAAAACTTTACCTTTTTGAGGTGGGAAGTGGTACTGGGAATACAATAGTACCTCTTCATGATAAATACAATTCTGTGATGAGATTTTATGCTTGCGATTTCAGTCAGAATGCAGTTTAATTGCTTGATAATCTAAAAATATGTGAGAAAGCTTTTGTGAAAGATATGGTAAAGGGTGACTTAGTTGAGATTGATGATGATAAACTAGACTTTGTGACCATGATATTTTTCTTATCAGCAATACATCCTAGTGAACATCCTCAAGTTATTAATAAAATAGCATAAAAGATGAAAAAAGGAGGTAGCATTTTATTTAGAGATTATGGAGCATATGACCTTGCAATGATGAGATTTATTAATAAAAAGAAAGGTATAATAGACTTGGATAAGATGATATTCTAAAGAGGTGATAAAACACTAGCCTGCTTTTTTACCATTGAAAAATTAGTTGAAGTAATGGGGTAAAATGGCTTTGAGTGTGTTCAGCAAGAATATTGTACAATTGAAAATAAAAATATCAAGAGAAATTTAGTAATGAGAAGAGTATTTATTAATGCTATTTTCCAAAAATAATGAATTAATTAACTCTATTTAGACGATTTATAAGGCTAAGTTTATGTGGGGTTTTGGGGTTTTGGGG